GCAGTGCAGCATAACATTAAGTGCTATTCAGGTCATCTGGTGAAAATACTGTATTTTTAATATCGCAATATATATCGCAGGGTTGAAAAAATCGCAATATTATTTTTTTTCCAACCACTCCAGTGATCCCACATGAGTTCATGATTCATCAAAATACGTGTTTAGCTGTTGTTTGATTGTGAGAGGAAGGAATGAACATTTTGTCTGTTAAACCAAAATAAGAATACTGTATTGAACTACTTATTTAACACCCTTTCATGGTAGTTAAATATTTAGACTTTATATTAAGATGTAGATTAAAATAATGGGCTTGGCATTGTATGTAGAAAGCTCCAGATTTTATTGTTTCCCTTCAAAACTATATCAGTTATGTTATTTAAAGATGGAGTAGGCAGGATCTGAGGAAGTGCCAGTTTTTGGGTGAAATCTTGAATGTAAACACTACCCCTCCCGACCAGTTTTCCCCTCAGCTCCTCCTCTCCCCTCCCTCTCTGCCCCAGCAAGCCCCGCCCACAAACAGACGCTCCTGCTCGCTCATATCGTTTTGGTTAAATTCAGATATAATGCAGATGAATGCTTCAAATAATTACAAATGGAACCCAGTCAACATTAAAGTAAAAAGCATTGGTGCTACTCTAGATGCCAACAGACTACCAGCAAACACAATGTTTGAAGGACTTCTACAACTAGGATAAAGTGACATACACCAGGACCCGAGGTAAACGGCGCTACAACACGGAGGAGGTCCCGTTTGACAAGAAATACTTCTGTTACAGACACTTGGCTTACTTTGTTAAAGCAGGGTTCGTAAGATCCTGAAGTATCCCCCATCATTTGTACTGATGTTGACCCGGCTTTTTAGCTCTTGTCCTGTCTACCTCCGTTTTAAGCTAACTTTGTTTGGGCTCCTGAACGACACGGGGGAGCAGCGTCTCTTCACAACCAATCAGGTTGGGGGAGGCGGAGAATGGCTTTGTTTACAGTCAGAAAGAGCGGAGTGCTCAAAAATTTAAATAGCTATTGACTGATATTAAAACCTTTTTTGTATATACACCACAAAAGAGATGCTTCTTTAACAGATTCCTGCCTAACCCACCTTTAACCTTCACAAGACAATTTAAAGTGTAAAAATCACATCACATTTTGAACGCTTTTCTGTTAATTTATTCATAACTTCAATGAATAAATTGCCTATTCCAACTCAAGTTTAGAAGTCAAATGGTTTCTGTTAGTTCATCACACAATCTGTTCAATCCTGCATTATGATCCCACTTCAGTGAAAAAGCAGCATAAAGATTGATTTAGTGATTTTTGTAGTTTTGATTAAAAAATAGATGCCAGGAGTCAAAAAGCAATGGGACCTAAATATTAGATCAGCACTGATACAAGTCGAGTCAAATGACTCAGAAATGGCTGCATTGAAAATAGTGTGACTGACATGACGTGTTGTGTTCATCTGGAAGAGCAGGGACATCTAGGGTGAGGGACAAGAGGGACATCTAGTGTTGATAAGGGGATATGACAGTTACACTGTTGACAGCTGTGGCTCAGAGAAGATTATTGTCAAGGTTTAGTCTTTTGCGCTCATTGTTAGAATTTGATGTAAACACAAGGTCTTGAAACTCTACAGGTGGATTTTCCCGATTTTCTTTTCCAATTTTTTACCAGTTGGGAGATCTGGCATTTCTGCTGTACTCTGCAGAACCTCAGTTGTGTTTTCTTAAATTATTATAAAAAGGTCCAGATATTTCCCTACATCACAAGCAGATACATTTCTCACTTGACCTTAAACATATAGTGCATCTTTCCCATACAGAAGATAAATCCAGTCCTTCACACCCTCTGCCATCTACAAAGAGCTCTCTGTTTCAGCTCGAGGGTCAAAAATTCCCAGCCCTGTCTCTCTCTCTCTCTTGGCTGACTTTGTTGATCCCAGTCTCTAGTTGTTAGCTTGTTTGGCCCAAGAACTGGGATCTACAAATCCTTCTTGCACCAAATTGGCTACCAGGCCAAGACAGCTACGTCACCCAGATTCCCTAGTGGTGGCCATTACTCAGAACGATTCATACAGCATGGAGGGCCGAGCAGATTGGGAAAACAGTTTCGACATTGCTGAGAGGGAACAGCTGCAGTGATACGCTGTTGGAGGATGACAGATTTCCTTTTCTTTGTTCCCCTCTCTCTCTCAAACCCCCTTCTTTACTCTCTTTTCCTCATTTTTCTTTCACTTCATCTTTTCTTTCTCTCGATTTTCTCCATCTCCTCTTCCTTATCGAAGCCTCTGTAGCCAGCTCTGTGTCACTCATTTTAATTCGAAATCTTTGCATACTTGTAAACACAGACAGGCTGACACACACAGATGTATACACACAAGGGAACCTAGCTCTAGAAACACATTCCCAGGAATATTAGTCCAAGGAATTTTGATAGGGCCCCTTTCACATTTGATTTTTGGAAAAAGTTCTGACATGCTGTTCGCTAACTGAGTGGAACCAAAGTGTGTGTGTGTTTAGCTCAGTGTGAATGTGTGTGTTTTTACAGCGTCTCGATCCAAATGTCACCACAAGAGTGGATATCCAGAGGTTATGTTAGCAGAGCTGTCAATGAGTGTGACTTAAGATTGGAATAATAATCGACTGTTATTTTGGGATTGGAAATCAGAAGTTAGGGTGAAATGTTTGCTGTAAAGATTTATTTGTGACAAGTTGCTGAATTTTACGAAAGTGGAATGTCCCAGATGGTGACAAAAGAGACAAAAATGACCCGTGATGTTTGGTGAAAAACTGGAAGTTTGTCACAGATTGGAAAAAACACTCATACTTAATAGAAACCTCCATATGGGGAATATGTTTGAGCTCTTAAAACTCCTCCTTTTTCTGTCCCTGTTTGATGGGAGTCAGTATGTGAGCGTGCTGCATGTGTGTACGCACTGCTGTTTTTTTTTTTTGGTGTGTGTTTCGGTGTGTTAGCAGAGCCACATCTGGAAACAATAGAGCAGTAGATGCTGTCACTTTCCCTTTACCTCAGGCTTTTGAGCGAGTTCTTAAACAAACACTCAATTCACTCACAGTAAATTACAGGAAGGCAATCTGAGCTGCAGACTCAGATATTTGGATTTTCTTTTCTTTCTCCCTCTTTCTTGCCGACGCACACAGGCAGCGATTCAAGCATGTCTTAACTTCATCAGTTTTCCCATGTGCAATTTAACCCCTGTGCTGGAAAATTACAGCCCAGAGTGTATTAAGTGTGATTGTGCAGCCAAATCACATCTCATCTTGAAGCGACAGGAGATGTGTATGCCCTATTGTGAAAAATACTTTGTGTACTTATAAGTGTGTGTCACTTATGCTTTTGGTTTATAGCTGATGAGATGTGATTGACAGTACAGTCGTGTTTACATAGTGTAATCAGCGCGTTTCCTCTGCGGATTCAGAACAAATTTGATGGTTATGGCGCATGTCTTCTCCTGATTCAGCTTAAAAAAAAAATAGCGAAAGTGATCCTTACTGTGATAATGTGTGCAGTTCACAAATGCAGAAAGGCAGCAAATAATCAAGCGACATTAAAGGCACTAAGAGTTTATTTATCTTATCAGTCAAGAGGTGGCAGCATTGCGCAGCCCATTAAATTGACATGACTGAGAAAACCAGCAGAGAACTACACAGACGTGGTAATAGTTTATTATTATAACGCTTATTAAATCATGTCAAATCCTTCCACCCAATCATATTTTAATGGATTCCTCATCTACCTCTAGTCTTTAGAGCCAAATCTGAACCACTGCCTCTGTTTCTTTTATACGGATTAAATTCTATCAACTCAATATGGTTGCTTTGTGTTATTCATGTTTCGTTAGTTCATAAGTCATCAGTAGCTCATCTGATAAACTGATCACTACAAAAAGCAGAAAAAAAAAAACACCGCCCTGACCCCCATAACAACCAGCTGAAACTGATTTGAAGACCCTTTATTTTCAGCAATATTGTAGTAGCTGAATTTTTATAGCTGCAGGCTGTATACAGCACAAGTGGCCTATGTATAGTAAGTATAAGGTTTTGTCTAACTATAACAAACAGTTGTGTTTTGTACTCTTGCATAATGTTGGAGTCATCTGACGCTTAAACGTGTTTGACAACAGAAGAAAAAACATAATTTTAACCATTTTTGTTAGGAAAATAAAGGAGTCTGTAGCCATAGCAACTCACTCACATCTGGAAAACTGAGATTTACTGTTATACTGTTGTTGTATGTGTAACACTGTTGATGCTTTGACGATATTATCCTGTCTTTCATGCATGTATGTATGAAGCTGAATTGAAGTGTGCAACAGCTGATCCCTCAGAAAGCTAGGCAACGAAAAGTGTAACCATCTTTATTTTACAGTAGAATACAGCAAATCCTCCTAATTCAGCCATCTTTATTTGACAGTAAAATACTGCTAATCTTCCTAATTTAGAAATATATAACAAATGATAGACATCAGAGATGGTCCTCGAACAGCCTTGTCAAAAACCATGTCATGCTTTCTAAGCACAATGTTGTCAACTGTGTGATTATCTGGCAGCTGACAACTATTGTACTAAAAATTACAAGGAAAGCCCACAAATACACACATGTAGATATCAGGCTCACCACATTCAATTTGAGAACAGTAGGTGGGTTGAAGGATAACAGGAACTCTAGCATCAAAATGTGGACATAAAGTGTCCCCATATGTTTTTTTTTGCTTTTCACGGTAACAACTCGCGAACTTCTGGATCATCCTCAGGATTCCCATGCCTGTATCTGATCTGTTAAACAGCAAATGTTCATGATCTTTCCATCTAAACCCTAATTTTAGCACAGGTCAAAGAACAAGTACACTGTATTTTCTATATATGTATATATTTATATATATATATATATTTTTACATTATTCTTCTGTTGACCAAATGATTCAACTCTCCTAAAAGCAAAATATGGTGGTTCACACACAAACTTAAGAAAAACAGCATTCAACGTTATGGAAACCAAAAAAAGATTTTATTCATCATCTTCTGATACAAAAGTGTTTTAAATAACAAGTTTAAGAGTTTTGTCAAATTTTTACAAGGATAAATTAGCAACTTCTTTATAATACACTAATGACATCATCAACACAATGACATGTTTTCCTGCACAGAGCAACAGATTACACCTTGGAGGCTACAATCAACAACCCTACCACAGATTCACATTTGGGCTTACCCAAGGCATTTCCATCATCTGTAAAACCAGTGGTTCTCAATCTCCATTAAGCTGTGGCACACACTGACCATGTTTAAAGCCACAACTATGCAGTGATTGTTTGGAAATGTCACCTGAAGCTCAGCACGGTCACACAAGAGCAGAAAGCCAACATACTTAAAAAGTTTGGGCGGGGAAACTGCATTAGCTCAGAGGGGAGGTGGTCAGGGGTTAACTTAATTCACTTTGAGTCAGTGTGATGTTTGTTTGACTTTAGAAATGTAATAAGTTTGCTGTGGCATGCTGCTTTGAGAAAACTGGGCTTTTGTGGTTTTTGGTTTCACCACAACCACTGAAAGTTTCTTGACTGCTATAGGGCGACTGCTGTGTTTTTCTGTCTTATTCTAAACATTAGGGCTAAAAATACTTGAAAAAGACTGTGGGAGGCACTATCTGGTTTGAGGGCACAACTCCAAATTCCAAACTTGAACTGCCCGGACCCCACATTTCTCCTAGCCTGACTAAAATACACAAACCGTAGCTCGATTCATAACTCATATATTGTAAATTAATAGACTCTCTGAAAGACAAGACCTCCCCTTGGCAGATTGTCAGGCAAATGAATGATGGATTAGATTTAGGGTTTGGTGGATGCACCAGTAAGAGTCGATGAGCCAGGATCAAGAATTTACCAACTGTTAGCAATGGGTTTGCAAATGTAGTATGTTCAACTGCAGAGAGAAATAGCATGATTGAAATAATGGGAAAGGCATAATTTAACAACATTCACAATAAAGACAAACTCCGCCATCTGACATATAAAGAATTAGGAACAATAGTTCTTGGGAGGACATGATTGTCTGGGAAATGAGCCATAATGCAGCAGATGAGAATATAGGCAAGCCAAGGAGAGCGTCAGGCAGACAGATAAATATCTGCAGTGCCAATTTTATGCCGATCAAATATAAACTTAAAACTGCACACAAACCTTCAAAAATGTTCTGCTGTTGTGGGTGAAATCAGTGACTTCCTATTCGGTATACCTTCATCTATGTGCATGTCTCTGTGACAGCTCTTCCTTATTGCATGATGTGTCTTTTGGCAAGTGATTGTCTGGCAACCTATAATTCTTCAATCTGTTTTACGCCCCACGTTTGGAATAGAAGGCAGAGGGAATAATTCAATTTCCCGGGTTTCATGGCAACTGAGGAGTATATACTGTACAGTACGGTTTTCAAAGAGGCTGCACACATCGATGAAAATTAGCTGAGCTTCCCAAATCCTGCTGAGGTAAAAAGCAAAGACCTTCATTTCCCACAGGCCTCACCTCTCTGACATTCAAAGGCACAGCTAGGAGGCACCCGTGAATCATCGTGGTAGAAGTTCAAAGCTATCACAGACTTTGGTTTGAAGATCTAACCTATGTGTCTGCCTTTCAAAATAAAAGTTCTGAATTAATTTATACCCATTTGAGCAAAAAACTGAAGACACTACTTTTTGCTGCAGCTATGAAAAATCTGACCAAACTCGTTGTGTTTAAGACTGCGTATTTATGTGCTGTACTGGTTGTTAGTTTCATCACTGCTCTCCCTGTTAATGCACTTGTGACAGGCACCATAACGTGTGATTATAGTGCATTATTACAGCTTTGAGCTGCATTACCAATACATTTATGCATTTGCATCACCTGCTGGTTTATATTGTACAAAAGGTTATCGTTAATCAAACTGTACTTTGAGTATCCACGTTATAGATTTAAGGCAGTATTTGATGTGCTCTGTAGATTTAGATTTCTTTTGGTCTGGTTGCCTACTTTGTCATTTCAATTCGCCGTGTGGACATAATTAAAAATGCACTTACACTAAAAAATGTCTGAAGCTTCAAGGAAACCCTCGTCTGTGTTATGTCTGCCCCAGGACCCTCCAGTGTAAAATTTTAAACCTTCTCAAGACCCACGGAGGACACAGTGGGGTATCGGGTTACTCTATCCAGCAGGCTCGGTTAGTTCTGCTGAGGAGCAAAGAGAGGCAGAGAGGTAGATGTGGTGCTACACAGTTTACTGGTGTGTCTGTTCTGCATAATTGATGCTTCTGCTCTGCCTTTCTCATCTCTCCTTCTCCTTCATTTTTGCTTTCTCTGTTTCTCTGGGCAAAAGTCCAACAGAGGTAGAGAGGCCAACGTGGCTACTCATGTATGACCCAATCCTCCAGTTTTCACCTCTTAAACACCTGTTAGAGGCACAGAGTCACCCGGAGAGGGTCAGGCAGCAAGCTTTTTTTTGATGCCATTATATCCAGTGGATTCTTTGGAAACTGCTGCATTCATTCTTCACATTTTCAGCTCTTGTTTTCCTTTGTGCGGCAGGTTCAGTGTCTGTGAGCGAGAGACGCAGGGTATAAGTCCATTTCTGTCTGATCTCTCTGCCACAGACCTTATACGACTGTCTCATTTCCTTTCCCTGGTTTGATCCATCCCTCCCCGGGTGCCCTTTTCCCCCCTCTGCCTGCTCTGCTGTCCCTTAGCAAGCGGGCAGAGCAGCGCTGCCAGGTGTGGAGGGTTTTTGCTGACCAAATCCACATGCCTGATGTGATGCCCACGAGCAGTGACATAAAGATTCTAAGCATCTCCGATGCCACATATGAGTCCCTAGTGCTGGCTCGAAACTCGCCCCAGTTAGAGAGCTGGTAGAGGTAACAGCCAATCACAGTGGATGCAGGGACAGTGTAGAGAACAGAGAAGACTCCTATCTTCACCATTAGACGCTCCAGCTTGTCTGTTTTGGCACCATCCTTTTGCAGATTGGAGCGGATCTTGAAGAGAGCCACAAGGCCAGCACAGATGAAGAGAGTCCCTGTGGTGCAGAAAGAAAACCAGATTAGTATTTGTGGGGTCAAGCAAATACGAGCATTGACAGAAATACAAAGAAACGAATGGTCTGAACATTTTAAAGACTTCACTTTCAAAAAGGATGAAAGTACAGGTAGAAGAGAACTCATGTGATTACCTATGAGCAGGTATGTGGCCAAAGGTGCCACCACAAATCCTGTAAGCGCCTCCTGCTGCTGGTTGCCAACATAGCAGAGTCCTGTGAGATCATCTGCATCCACCAGCCTCATTATTAGGATGACAATTGTTTTTACTGCCGGGATGGCCCAGGCTGCTATATGGAAGTAGGAGCTGTGCATCTCAATAGCTTCATGGCCCCACTTCAGTCCAGCAGCCAAGAACCAGGTGAGAGTCAGGATCACCCACCTGAGGACAGGAGAGGGAGAAGAATGAGGAACTAAAACACACTGTTCCTGTTGATGCTGGAACTACCCTGTGTAAAACTTTTCTATAAAGTATCCAGCATGGTCTTCATATATAATTTCCCCTGATATCAGAGTGTGTTAAGTGACATAATGGACTGTTATCATCACAATCTAAGGGTTGGATGAGGTCTTTGGGTTTTCAGTGTTTTGCTTTGCCAAAAGGGAAGCATAAAGTCAAACAGGAAAACCAGGGCAAAGTGAAAGGAAGAAGAAATGTGGCAGAAGTGTGTTTCCTCTGCAACTTTAGTCAGCACCCATTCAATGAAAGGCTGCCTTTGTATGTGGAAATGTATCCATGTAGCACAGAGGTTATGAGACAGGATAGTTGGGCTTTAAAGAAAACAGGATGCAAGTCTCGTGTTCCAATTGTTCCCCCCCAAACATCCATTCACAACACTGGATGACAAAGGGGACAAAGAGATGAAGGAGCGAGAGGATAAAGTGCGCAGGGGGTACGAGTGTTTGTACTCACCAGAGTGAGGAAGCCATGCCAAAGAAATAGAGAAGAAGGAAGACGATGGCACAGCCGGTGCTCTTCAGGCCTTCTTGGACAAGAATTGGTACGGCTGTTGCATCCAGGTCACAGGAAACACGCTCCCTTCCTAGAGTCAACCGTACCTGTTGTCGAGAGCACCGAAAGAGAAGGGAAAGAACAAGGTAACGTTAGGTCAATGTCTGATTTTCCATTTACATGTAGATATTTGAATTATACGTTTCCAGATAAGAACAGAAAACTAGTTTATAGCAAATATCTTTTTTTTTGTCTTCTCCTCTTATAAATGAACATCATATTACTAAAACCTCCACTCACCAGGTAGGCAACACTGTACAAATTGCAGCACATGGACAGAAAGATGATTGGCCTCTCGGGGTAAGAGAAGCGCTGTGAATCCAGCAGAAAGGTCAGAACAGTCAGAGTAGTGGACAGGAAGCACAGCACTGCCCACACTGCCATCCACGCATCGGTGAAGACTTTGGCCCCCCGTCTATAGAGCCCACTGTCATAGCCACACTGCAGGGTGCAGGTCTCTGTCTGTTTTAACCAGGTGTACTGGTCGGGTGCAGATCCCAGAGCCTGACATTCCTCCTGGTGGGGAGGGTGACGGACAGGCTGGTAGGGCGGGTCCTCGTCCCCCGGGCCCTCCATACACATGTGGTTGTGGTCGTTTTGAGGAGGGAAGAGGCTGCAGTTGAGAACCTGGAGAAAGGGGCACGATGAGATGATAGCTTTCATAAACAAAACATTTAGTAAACTCCTTATTCTTATTCAATCACTGCATCAAGTTGTATTTCTCACCTCAGGCCAAATGAAACCAAACTCATGTAGCACTGGGAGGCACTTTCTCTTGACGGACAGACACATGCTTCCACATGGACCAATGGGGATGGGCACTTTGTCCGTGCACATTGGAACGTAGACTGAACACAGGAAGAACTGGGGAAAAAATACACACAGGGTTATTCAAGATGAAACATTTTCCTCTTTTTTTTAAACGGACAACACTTTGATGAGTGATGTAAGAAGAGGGCAAATGACTGAACGCCCACAACAATTTAAGCTCAGATAGTGAACATGCTACAACAGATTTCCAATATTATGCCATATATCAGTGTTCTGATTCAAGGGCTTTACTCCTATCAATATAAAGCTAGCCATAGAGGCGGCATGACACAATGTCAGTGGTACAGAGTGGATTCAGTATTGTGATACACTGTTGGCTGTTTTTATTCCTGTATATATTACTACAGGGTTACAGCCGGTAGATGGCTACCACTTTGACCTCCATCTAATTGCACGCACCAATCCGTCTCCTACTGCTTTTTATGGCCTTTACTTTCAATGCATTGCATCACCTCTTCTATTGAGGGTCTCTATTATCACCTCTAATAAAAAAACTGGAGTCAAAACACCATCCTGCTCCAAGGTTACACATACAACACTGTATCTTTAAAAAACAATCAGTGAATATAACAACACATAGGGCATGTGCAATCTAATTCCCCATAATCCCACCTTATCCGAGGCTCAGTTTTCTCTGTCCCATGGCATTAGTTTGGAAATAGATATCAAAGTAGTGGTTTTAAAGATATAGTGAGCTGTCTGGTGTCACAGTCAACTGCTCGAGGTGGTGGTGATGTAAGTGTGGAAGATTTCAGGGGTTATGAAAGGTTTCAATTTTAAGTGATTTCATGCTTTTGGGGTAGAATCAGTCCAAGCTCGAGTGTAAAATTGTGCCAGGCTCATGATAGAAAAATACACAGAAGCAGAGAGTGAATTTCACTTAGTTACCTTCAGGCAAAAAGGAAAGAAAAATGCATTCCAAAGAGCTTGGACAGGGTGATGGCAGACTTTAAATACTATAATGTGTTAGACTTTGGAGCCTTTGCTGGCCCTTCTCGTTTTAAAAATGCCAAATTTCTTAAATGGTCTCTAATAAGGGTGAAATGGTTTGGGCCTGCAGCGTTGATGAAATGATAGCGATAACTCAGCTTGAAATCGAGCCTCGAACACAGCCAAATGAAACTTGAAGCCAAGAAGGGTGTCAAGGTTGGGAAATAAATAAACACAGAAACTTTATACAACTCTTCCACTGTGAAAAAGAGGCGCATCCACACATTTATACCAGGAATTCACTTTTTGTGCCTGGATAGGGTATTGCACAAGAACTTGAGAATAATATTCAGAGCTACTGTGTAGTTGCATATCTGCAGGCTACTGGTTTAGTTACAGTCTGTGTATGTAATGTCTAAATCACTTATCTAACTGAATGGGAACTCAAAATTCAATATGTTACACTGCTGTCTGATAAGTATCTGGGTTGTACTGCAGCTTTATCTCCGCAAATGGAGCCAACTTGCAGATCTGGAGGCGGAATAAAGTTTCTCACAACAAATAGAGAATCTTTTGTGCACAAAGCGAAACCACAAACTCAAGGTGCTGGGAAAAATAAGAAGATAAAAATAACTTGTTTTTTTCTGTGGATTGGTGGATTTTTTAACAAACAGAGCAAAGGTTAAATGCAGATGCAAAAGTACTTCTATAGTTCTCATGATGAGCCAGTACTGGAACACATTCTGGGTGTTTTCCCCGGCCGTTGGTAACCCGAGTGCTGTCACTTCACGGCTAAAAGCTGCTCTGGTTACCCGTCAGGAAGCCTCCCATTAGGGCAAATGTTAGGGGATACGCTCTCCCTTTCCCCCTTCCTCCCTATTTAGGGTGTGTGTGTGTGAATATGTGTGTATGTGTAAGACAGAAACAGAAAGGGGGGGGGGGGGGGAGTGTCAGCTAATATTACAGGACCTTTCTCAGCTGCAGGACAGTTTGGTTTTGTGTAAGCGCTTGCTCTTTTGCTGTCACACATAGACACACAAATTACTTAAGGCAGTGTGTTAATAAGGCATGACAGAGTATTTTAACTCCTTTTCCCTAATACATCAACACAAAAAGTCTTTGTAGACACATCTGGGAAACTCACTTAGGGAGATGTGTGAAAAACTGGCTATTCAATTAAAAAAATATGCAAAATAGGTAGACCCACACAAACCTCCAAACACAAACCTTTACTAGCTATAACCTGAAATGAATTTTTACTACCAATCAAGAGGACTAACCTATTTCTTCCACAGTACATGAGTCAAACAAGCAGCATTTGTCCCAGGACACTGAAGGCACATTGTAAGCAAAGAGATAGTACAGTATATAGCTGTGAAGACTCAGCTGTTGCTGTGTGGGGCATGAACTCAGAATGTCAACACACAGAGGAGGCTTTTTCAGAGAAATTAGCATGACAGCCTGACACAACAGGAAGGAAGAACGACTGTACTGCACTTATTTTAACTCTCTGGAGGTCAGTCCCCCACTATATTATGCTGCTCATTATCAAGGGCACCATCAGTCTGAACTGTTCAACTATTGCCAGTAGCTCTCTGTCATGTGCTCTGGGACCACACTGTTCCTACCTAACCCCACTCACACACACACACAAACTCATAAATATAGCAGACTATCTGGGCCCAGGCCTTTAGAGTCCAGGATCAGTGTTCCTAAATTTACGCATGTTCCAGCCTTTTAATATCACACAGCCTGATCTATTCTAACATCAGAATGCAGTCAGTAAGTGTGTCACACTCCACACCACACTCCACCACTGCTTTACCTTGAGTTGGCTGGAGCAGCCGTACTGTATGAGCGGCGTGAACGTGGTCAGCTGCAGCTCCGCGTCCGACTGCAGCACGTTGCCGACCAAGTTGGGCATCTTGGTAACGTTATAGCCCAGACCCTGACACATACTGATGCGGATCGGGTCGCAGGTCATTTCCTCCACTTCGTCACCGAAAGCCCGGACCCCGAGGAGGGGAGCCACCAGCCCGGACAGGAGAAGCAGAGCTGCCCCGCACAGTGACACCATCATCCCGTGTAGTGTAACACCGCGACTCTCAGCGCGGGTGTCCCTTTCGTGAAATTCTGGCACAGTTGAAACACTCCTCCTCGCGTAAAGTTAGGTTTGGTCGCCCCTGGAAACCGCGGCACGTTTTCAAAGTGGAGCGCGTGCGTAGTGAACGCTATAGTATCCAAGTCTGAGGCATGGAAAAAATCCTGAAATGCGAAAACCTGCGATAGTGTGTGCGTAAATAAAAGCGCGTGGCACGGCTCAAACCATCCTAAGCCTGCGCAGTGATATCAAAGCGTCTTGGTAATCCGTCAGTCCCCCTCGCGTTGTCTCCCGTTGATAAGTCCACAGCAGCAACGACGCACAGCGGTTTGCTTTTGCGCCTACTGTCTGCCTCCAAGCGTCCAGCTCCAAACTTTATTGTGTCTGTGAAGAGAGGCTATTTTGCCCCTTCTAGAGGAGAGCCGACCAATCCACGCGCGAGAGTAGGATTTCCCTGACCAACCCCTGACCAGGAGGGCGGGATCCAGGGGAAAAATAGAAGAGCCAGCTTCACTTCCTCCCCTACTTCTCTCTCTCTCTCTCCCCCCTTACCTCCTCTCCTGCTGCATTTTCTCTCTCATCTTCTGTCCTTCTTCATCCTCTCCTCCTATAAAGAAAATCAGCAAGTATTCCCCCCACTGTTCCTGACACTATCCAGAGCCTGTATTTAAACTGGCTGATGTGGCTAACATATGTTTTCATTGGCTGTATTTTTAGAAAATGAGCATCCGAGGAGTGTATTTTTTTTTCTAGACTGAGTGTTTTTATATTATATTTAAAGTCCCTAATGGTCTTTTAAACTCATCCTGGAACCTCACCACAGGTCCCACTCTTCTCCTCTACAGACTCGTCAGCTCTAACTGCTGGCGACATTGTAATTGAAAGTAGGGTCTTAAGTAATGCTGAAGCATTGGAAATCTGTTTTGCATCGCAATAGATGCGCAGACTGGACAGGTTTTGTTTGCTTGTGGCACCCAAGGAGAGGACTTCTTTTTTTTTAATGGCATGAAACTTGCAGTGAATGGTGTTGCTTTTGCTTTTCTGTGGTGTTAAAGTGGACTTGTGTGACAAAATGCTTAGATTTGCTGCGAATAGTTTAGCGAAAGGAAAGCTGAAGTTGTGCATCTGCTGAGTGGACTCAACTTGAGGGTTTAATAGACCTTTTTCTGAAAAGGACAAATACCTGAAGTTGTATTCTACTGTCACTTTCCCAGAAGCAAAAAGACTTGATTTTGGTGTAGTTCATTCTACACTACCTTATTGACCCTCATCGAACTAAATCTTGATCAATTGTGCGTGTCTTTTTATGCGCAAGTGTTTTATGGGACTAAAAGTTAACATTTTGGACCCTGGAACTACATTTTCTCCAGAATAGCAATTTAGATATTTCACACATAAGCCAGAAGTGCAAAATCAATTAGGTCTCAGAACACACGTTTGGACCCCCTAACATGTGCTGCTCTATCAAAAACCTTTTGATCAGGTCTTCAGGTAGACACATAGCAGAGAGATGCAAGGAACCAACACGTAGAAAAATGTGCAAAACTCTTACTGATTCTCATGAACTTGTATAACTCTTGGCAAATAGAAACACACTAAACATGAAAAAATGATCCTGTCTATACCTCAACTTTACCTCAACTACTTTACCTCAACTGATTCTCATGAACTTGTTTAAATCTTGGCGATAAAAAACACACTAAACTTGAAGAAAATGATGCTATCTATACCTCAACTTTACCTTAACTTCTTTACCTCTAATATGTCAACTGATTCTCATGAACTTGTATAACTCTTTGCAAATAGAAACACACTAAACTTGAAGAAAATGATACTGTCTATACCTCAACTTTTACATGTAACTGGTATGTTTCGGCCTTGTATTTCTATGGAGACTTGTGCGACTATCAAAATGTGAAAATCTCTGCGACAGTCTAGTCGTCTGCTTTTATTGTGCCTCTGTGTTGTCCCTCTTGGATTATACTGTGATGTTTAGGCCAATCCACTGTGACAATTGATTGGCAGCAGCAATGACCTCTCCACCCAGCCAACCTCCTGCTCCTATGTGCCCCAACCCCCGACACACACACACACACACACTTCTCTCTGCCTACACACACACATTCGCATACACTCAAACCATCCCCCCTAAGCTGCTCTGTGGCTGGACCGCGGGTCAAGACCCAAAGTAATTAGCACTGAGCTGAAACAATAGACTGTGCCCTGGAGCTGATGGCTATCAGGGGTGTGGTGATGTGTGTGTGGATGTGAAAGAAAGAGGTAAATGAGAAGGAGCGTGAAATGGAGAGGACTGGAAACCAAAACAAGGCTCAATTTCAAGGACTTCTGCACACTTGAGCTTAACGCAAAAAAAGGGGGCTGCTCTTGGATCAGTTGGATAGCACTTCATCATATCAATTAATTAAGCCCAACAAGTTTATTAGAAGATACAGAAGAACTAGGAAAACAGAGAGAAAAAAGAGTGTGGTGGAGAGTTGCTGCAGCCGCTCTGTTTACTTTAACAGTTGAGTGTGAATAGCAGGCAGCGTGTTGGAATTGATAGACTAATGACCATCACACTGAGCGGATAATGACCTCAGTTACTCTTACGGCCATATAACCGCTGGGCTGGTTATCCAACAGTTTGTCCTCTTGAATGGGACATCTGGCCTTGGAAGAAAAGGTTAGGACTGTGAGTTTTCAAGTGTGTTTGTAGCCACATTTTGGGTCAATAAAGTGTTATGAATATAGCTGTGATATGACTCATGAGATTAATATGTCTCTGTTCACTATAACAAACAGAGTTCTTAATAGATCCATGACTCTTGTGGCTTTTTGAGCAAAACCAGCAATCAGCTCAATATTCAGGGTAGCACACAAGCAACACAAACATTTATGCCGACCAGTAAATCGATAGTGACTGTATGGAAACAGGCTTCAGAGGTGGGCCATGGACGCAGTAAATATCCAATCAAAGTATATTAAGAACACGATGAGGATAGCGGAAAGTTGGAGGTAGAGGAGGTTTGAGGAATTTTTGGCTGCGCTTGTCCCCGATGGCAACGGTTGGAGCGACCAGATCCTAAACCCTAACATAAGACGTGCAGAGTGACGTCTGTGTGAGAGTTTGTTTAGCAGACCAGTGTAGGGCTGATTTCCACTGCTGTGGGCCAGGCTAAAATAGTCAGAGCTTTCTAATTATCTATGCCACACAGTTTCCTCCGACACAACATTCATGTGATCCTTTCTGCGTGTCGATGCCAGCAGAAAGGACTCAATGGTGCGGTTTTCCTTCCCAAATTATCCACTCTTGCTAACATTTTGATGGTTTAATGCTTTTGAGGCCGGTCTTCTGGAAGGACATGTGCCCCGGCTGGCCAGGGATCAAACCCTCCCCACAGTCTTTAGCCCTGCTAATCCTTACTTTGCATCACTGCCACCTTTGTTACTGCCACAATAACAAAACATACACCGGCTGAATTATAGATGCCACATGAAGTAGCCTGGCTGGGCAAATACAATAAATGAACACCACCTTTTGCACTTTTATTCAACCTTGGTCAGTCTTCGGAAGGGATGATTTGGGGAAAGAATCTTGGATATTCAGACCTGATTTCACCCTGTATTCACGAGTGGAGAGTTTTTGGGATTGTGCCTATGTTGACTTAAAAATAACACCTGGTGTTATCTCTGCTCAAAAACATTCAGCCGTAGCTGGCACCACTGCTTTTTTGGCACATGGGGGCTGATTTATGATTATTTATAATGAAGTCTTACTTTAGCAGACAGCTGTAATGCCCAGCCGAACTAAAATCAGCTGCAGCGATGATAAGGGCAGGGACAGCATCCCCTATAATGATTTAATAGCAGCTGTTCAAGATTAAAAGAGAGTTTGTTACTGACTTCCTCTATTTGTGGAAGTGCTTGTACTGTTTAGTGTCTCGTCTTCATTTAGTATAATTTTGTATTGATAACCTTAAATCAAATCACCAGATATCTGAAGGAGATATGCACTTTTTACTTGAACATTATCCTCTTGTTAAAGTTTAGTATTAACAGATTTTGTACTCTATACAAGACCTATAAAAACGTGACGAAAATTCCCCCCTCTCTTTTTTAAGTGAATGCATGAACATGTTTGCTTGATCACAGCTCTTCTGAAGCCAACGCAGTCCTGCTGTGGGAATGTAACCAGTCTAACCTTTCAGCTTGGCAGGCCAAGTGAAAGGCAGCACCCTGAGGACAGAAAGGGAGACACAAGTGTGTATCAGTCACCAGATAGCATCTTATGGCTCAGTGCCCAATCCCTCATCCCTTGAAGTGTGGTATTAATAGGCCCGCCAACTCCTTGGAATGGTGTGAGTGTGCATAAGTGCACATGTTCTGCATGCAGGAAGAGTGTGTGTCCGAGTCTGTGTGGCTTTAATTTCATCATTTTGGTATTTTTAAGCTTCCGTGTATGAATGTGTGTTTGGAAAAATGGTGGAGGGTGGGGGAGGGAGTAGCATCTGCAGGGGAACTCTCTAGCCGTGCTGGAGTTTGGTTAGGGAGACTGGGGGCTTCTACAGGTGTTGTGTCCCCTCTGGGACCACATACTCACATTACAAGGCAGCAGAGTTGACACAGAGAGAGAGAGAGATTGGCACTCTTTCTTTCTAGCTACCTTCCATCACTTTCTCACACATGTCCAGCATTCGCGCCCTAAATCTATCTCCAAAACGCCTATCCTACTGCTGCCCTCCCTTTCAAATGCAGCAGTCATTCATCTGTCTTGTTCTGAGATTAACTTTGGCTTTGGCAGAGGCCTTAATTCAACCTAATTTTACTTACCCAGGGTTTCTTTTTTTCATGTAAGCTCCAAACCCCCTTTTTATGTAAATGTCATTTTTTGATTGGGTAAGGCAAGGTGATGTCAGCTAATTTTGGGAAGGTAATGTTGAAATTGGATGAGCAGAGATGTTAATTTTGCCTGACAGCAAATAAGATTTTGTTTCATTTATGCATCATCTTAGAAATGCAATGATTTGAATATATTTACCTACCTCTTTTACCTTATTTTATCCATAAAGGGTTTTCACATGACTTTCAAAGACTGTTTTACTGTTTGTACTGTGTGTTTCTGTAATATGATTGATTTTACATGTCTTCCGCTAGACTCCTCTGGACCTCCGTGCCATTTCTTGCCAAAGCGAAACACTATTCCCATGTACATTGCCTGATCAAGATAAGAGTGTTGCGCCTTTGTTCATGTAAATGTCACAAATGAACAATCATGGGGCAAAGTTATACTGACTGAGCAGCAGCACTGTACACATCTAGGCTGACAGGACAAAACAGCCTGCTGTGGAAATTCAGGAAAGCTTGTGCTTAAAGTTTAAGACTAATAATAAACTTATGTGGTGTTCAAAAAAGCACAATGAAAGCTTAATGTCACACAATGAGGCTTGTAATTCCTGCTGTTGAGAGTACATCTCACACAGCTAATGTCG